AAAGTGAGCAACACAGCTCTGAAGGCAGAAACTTTGTGCAGCAACACACCGGTTGATATCTACGTCAACTTTGGCACAATCACTGCCAACACCAACACGCTGTACTGCACACGCTTTCACACTCTGGTCGTGTCAAACCAGATCTTTCTCTACAGCCACGCTTGGTTCTCTCTTGACGTCCAACTGCGATGGGGTCGTCCATAAATGACGTCACGCACCTAGGGGGAGGGGGGGGGGGGTCAGACATTTGTGACTGGGGGGGGGGGGTTTGAGAAATGTGACGTCACATCAAAATGCGCAACTTTAAATAAATATAGACACGTTCTACTTAATTAAATATACTTTTTGATAAATGTTTTCTCCTATAACATCAGAGTGCAGCGCCACATTAAATACGCACTACAATGACAATAGTTTAAAGCGATTTCAAGCATGTTTTATTGGGGGGGAGGGGGGCAGAGCTTTGTGACGTCATATTTGAGGGGGGGGGGGTCTGACTTTTTGTGACGCCGCGTGACGAAGGGAGGGGGGGTCAAAAAACGTCCAAAATCGCGTGACGTCATTTATGGACGACCCCGATCACTAACACACCATCAATCTTCTGGCCCCCCCTTTTATTCCCAGCACGTGTAGAGAGAGCATACATTCTAAGCTCATTGAAGTCCATCACAACTTTGAAAATGGATGGACATCGGTGAAAAAGAGCTTCACAGCTCATCGGATTCCTCCCGGATAAATACACATTCTGATGATGATGTACGTTGAACTTCTTTCGCACCGTACGTAGCCAACCGTCCGACACGGGGGTGCCGATTAGCTGGTGGCGATCCCCAGGCATCTCTTGGGACTCGGGTTGAGCCGCCACTCCCCACGTGCCGTATTCAGTCTGAGCTGGTGAGCTCTGTCTGGTTCACGTGCGTCGGCAATTTCTTAATGTAGGAACACTAATGTAGGAATGTAGGAACACTACCACTTGGATGGGCGAGCAGGGGTGCTTGCCAAGCGTTGTAGGCGTGGGACTCCGAGAGCTTGCAACATCATGGCAAGTGCAGCAATGGGTGCCGTCTTTCGATAGATTTGGTCCACTCAATTGATTGAGTCTTTAGATCGATTCCCTCTGCCGAGCTCCGACCGTGTCGCCCTTGTGTGTGTTAACCGTGGCCAAAACACGATAATGCGAGTCCCGCAGACTCATTTCAATAAAAAAAACGAAAATTTGTATTACTGTCCCTCGTGGAAGACAAACGTTCCTCTCGGTAGACCCACGCTCGGAGTAAATACAATATTTATTTAATCGAGCGACTGATTCGCTCATTGACTTGTACCACCTCCATCAGCGTTGACTTCAGGGCAATGGCGTTAGCTATCGAGTGTGCAGGCGGTGCAACTGCACCAGAGCCAATGGACCAGAAGGGCCCGGGTTGCCGGGATACGAAGAGGGGAATTGTGTAGTGGTGGTGGGCCCCCATGTAACTCCCGTGCCAGGGCCTATACATATCACGATATGCCACTGGCCCAGGAGATTGATTGGTATGGACCATCTCTGCTGTTCGCGAGCTGAAGAGAGTGGTGTAACTTAATGTGTGCAGATGGTGCAATTGCAGCAGGACCCACAGAGCGGGGGGGGGGGGGGGGAGGGGGGGGCGGGGCAGGGACTGGGCTACAAAGATGGGTGAACATTTGTGTGTGTTGTGGTGATTTAAGCACGGTCCGGTGAAACGGTGTGGCAGACCCGAGTGGGTAGCTGCGGTGGTGAGATGTTAACTACCTCGCCTGGTGTGCAGGAGGTCGTGGGTTCGACCCCAACCCTGACGCCTGCTGTGTATTTGTAGTTTGCGTGTTCTCCCCGTGGTCGTGTGGATTTTCCTCCGGGTCCTTCGGTATTTTCCTCCACATTTAGAAACGTGCGTTTAGGGTATTTGGCTGCTATAAATGTCCACGTGATAAGCCACTTCGTTGAGCTATCATTTGTGACCAGGTCGCTTCTAAAAAAAGAGCTATATAGCTCAGTGAGCCTTACCTCGTAAAATAGTTTAGTTTTTAGTCTCCCAGAGTGACTGCAGAAATCAATGAGGGGAGTTCACGGGAGCAGTAACCATGGTTCTGTGCGTAAAAGTATGTGTAAGAAAAAATTGAAATGCTTAGTACAGAACTGTATATCGAAGCAAGATAATGTATGCATTGTGTATGTAACAGTAGGGAGAATAGGTTATCATACATTATCTACACCGATACAGTATTTGATAGCCTCTCAGGAATAGCCTTAGAGTCATGAATATAAATTACAGTAATGCCCGTAATATCAGACTTCCTTCATTTCTTTATTCATGGGCTGTTGTTGGGTCACAAATCATGCCCCATACTGTGCTGTCACGAAGCGAGCCCAGCTGGAGGCTAAAATAAAATTGCCACCATGGGCTGGCAGTCATCCACTTTAGAAAATAATTTAATGGAAGAAGTGCAGAATTGATAGATGTTAATGTTTATTGCGTGTTTTCCCGTGTCATCATAACATGGGTAAAGCGTCGGCTGTGTTTAACCTTTATGGATCCTTGATCTTCACATGATGCTTCGCTATAACCTGCCAAACTTGACTATGGTGTAATTAACATCACTCGCTTATCGCTGGGAAATGAGTTATACAGTACTGTACATGCAATGTAAATATTGCTTGACTAAAAAATATATTTAGGGGTTTTTCATCTCCTGAGATTAGTTTACCGAGTCAAATTGCATCAGACCGTTTCACTATTTCACTGTTCTGACCATTTCACTGTTATGAAATGTGTGGACCAATCAGTTTCAAGGACAATGCATATATTATCAGTGTGGGTTTTTTTTGCATTTTCACCACAAGTATCGTGGTTAATGCATACATGATGCCTTGTAAAAAGGTTTCAGTTTTGTTGCCAGAAAAAAGGGGGAAACCCCCAATATTACATTGTTTTTAGTTTAAACAATATCATTTGGTTTCAAAATAACGCGGCAATGCGAGCCCCTCCTGACCAAGCATCTTCAGACTCATTTCAACACAACATTTGTATCACGATCCCTCGTGTAAAAGAAACGATATTCATATGATGCTTGCGCTCTCACCTGCCAAACTTGACAATGGTATAATTAATATCACTCACGTAATGCTGTAAAATTAGTTATACATTACATGACATAATTATTTCTAAAAAATATATATTTCGGTTTTTTTTCAGCTCCTGAAATTAGTTTGCCGATTAAGTCAAAATACATCAGACCGTTTCGCTGTTCTGAAATGTGTGTAAACATCGTGTTTGTCTTTTGTTTAAATAAAAAAATATAACAGTACGCTACGCTCAAAATCACAAACAGACAAGAGGCAAATTCATATTCTGGGTTCTTTCGGTAAAGTCACGTAGAAGGGAAACGTGACTTCACCGAAAGAACCAAGAATATATGAATCCCTGCAGTCACGAAAGCTTTCAATCAAAATTTAAGAGGCATATTATTCCTGTGTTGGGTAATTGAGGAAAACACAAACATAAATTTTCACTTGACATCTTCATTCTTTGCACTTGTAAAACACTGCACCCTGGACAGTTTAGAACAACATTCGTCAGGATTTTGTTCAAATATGCAGAAAGCTACGTCTTCGAAGCAAAGCTCTATCTAATCAATTGCAAACTGTTAATGGCAATATTCTGATGTATTTCAGTTCTCACTCTAATGAAGATACATACTTTAAGAGGATGAAAACATGGAAAATTTAAAAATAGCAGTGAATTTGCCTAATCTTTTACACTCCCCCCCCCCTCCCCCATGAGAATTCCAAGTGGTGAAGCATGGCAGTTCGTAGGGAAACTGTTTTCATTATGATCAATAATTAATTGTGATAATGCATTCATTGTGATCACTCATTCATTGTGATCACTCATTTAGCGTGAGACGTTATGGAGAGGTCTTGCAACGTCAACTAAAAGCAACAGAAATGTGGTATTTTATAAGGATGTACATTTTTATTAATTACATATATTTTTATAAGTATATAAAAGGCAAATCAGACATGTAATGAGTAAACAAGAGAACGAATATGCTTTGAGTGGGACACTTAGAGGTACAAGAAGCTTGGAAAGACAGCGAATTAAGCACAAAAGCTATTTTAAGGACTGGATGCAATTGGGAGTATCTCATACAAAGTTCTTGAGTAAATATCATGGACAACACTAAATGGAAAGCTGCGATTGGTGATGTCTTTGAGAAAGAACTCGGCACAGAGAGATTATGGAATGAATTCTTTACCGAGAGATATTTTACTAGTGTCACTTTTACATCCCACAATTTTGGTTAATTATGTTTTTTTTAATGCACTTACATTGATGCTATATAAACAATGTAGGCACGGTTAACTTCTGGACCATTAGTCACATTGATTTTAGTGTACAGTTGATCATTCACAGAATGCCCACAGGAACATTGTGTTAAATCTCATGCAGTAATTTTTTAAAAAAATATGCTCCAGCCAAAACCGAATAAATCCTTGTAAGGGCCACTCCCAGCTGTGTTGTTTGTTTATTTATTAATAAAATTACATGTGAAGTATTCTTTTAGAGTCATATTTAGTCTCTGTTAACACGTGTATACTGGTATGTTATGTAATATAGTAAATATCCAAATATAATAGGTGTTTTGTTCATAATCAGCTGATTTAATCTAGCAAGCTTCAAAATGTAATAAAGCAATTTTGTTAATGAAGTTCGTGTTTTACTTACACGGTAAAGTTAATGAGAAATGTTGTCCTTGGCTCTGCGTTCTAGATATCTTATACTTGCTTAAATCAATGTTTCTGTTGACAGATTTAATTTAACTAAAGTACTGTTTCTAGTCACGTTAAATAGCATAATATAGTCCAGTGTGCATAGCACCGTAAACAATATTTGTATATGAATACTGCATTGTTAATACATTATGAACAACGACAAAAAATTATGTTTAAATCTGATACAACCAAATGCTCTCCATGTGCTCAGGTTCGTATTTCCCAGAGTGCAAGCCGGATGACACTGTTTTCAAGATAATCTTTTGGCTTGGCTACTTGAACAGTGGCGTCAACCCGCTCATTTATCCATGCTCCAGCCAGGAGTTCAAGCGCGCCTTCCTCAACGTCCTACGCTGTCGATGCCGTCAGAAGCACCACCGTCCCGCCTGGCGGGGCCACCGCTCCATCTGCGGCAGGTCGGCCGCCACCTCTGCCCGCCCGCCCCACCACTGCAGCCGGACCACGCTCGGCCCCACCGACGCCGAGAGCCCGGCGGTCAGCTTTTACTCGCGGCGGAAGTCGAACTCCGGGGACCTCGTCGCGGACTTCTGCTCGACGGAGCGGAAGAGGAGCTCCCACAGCTATCAATCGCGCAGTAGCTCCCACGACATTTCGGCAGCTTTTTACTTGGAGCCAGAGAAGAGTTCCATCAGCCTCGTGGATGATTTTTACCCGGCACGCGAGCGCAGTTCCCGTGACCTTTCCGACTGCTATCGGGATTCGGGCCCCCCCGTTACTCCAGGGTCAAAGCTGGGCAGTTACCTGCAGTGGGTGACTCGGGGCCGCCGCTTCAAGAGAGATGCCCGTCTCAGCCAAGACCGTGGAATGGCCATCGGCATGGGTTCACAAACAAATTGTGACATAGAAAGGGGAGATATTAATGTGCATGCTGAAAGACCTACTGGTGAACTTGCGATTACAGAAATATAAATATTGTAGCCCCTGTTTGTAAAAAAAAAGTATAAAACAGGGGCAAAAAAAACAGAACTGGGGTGCCTACAGTGGAGTTGTCACCGTATGAATTAATGACTGCTGCATAGAATGTCTAATACTTTGTGAATGTACGGAAACGACAGTGTATTTCAGCATGGCAGTTACACTGCCAAAAGCTAATCAGACTTTTGCTCATCTGTACATAATGTTGTAAACCATTCGTTCAAGTCTATTCAGAACTGATTTGTCATGTACATGTTTACCACTAATTTAATGTGTAATACATTTTCATTAATAACTGTACCGTGTAATTTACAGTGTGTTGTGAAATTAAATTTATTGCGGTATTTCATGCTGCACTTTTATCGTTTCAGTATATAAAATGTGCATACCCTGTACGGTTTTGGAGCGCACACTGGGGGTACAAGTAAATAAAAGCTGCACAAACAAAAACAAACATTTCCTTCCTGTATAATAAAATAGTTGTAATGTGCACGATAAAATAATGTACACAATAGTAGAGTAACATTAAAAATGTTTGAAGCATCCTCAAACTAGAATTTTCTGTCAAAAAAAGAAAGTATGTTATTGTCTTATGATTATATTCTTATCAGGCTCTTTAGTGTAAAATAGTCTCCAACTCTAATGATCCACACTAGCTGGCCTCTCTGTGTGCTATGAGTTTCAGTTCTTTCAGTTTCAGTTTATTTATTTTGGTACAGCCCTGTGAGCCATTCGGCTCTTGAATCGGGTGCAACCACAACCAACAAAAAAAACAGAAACACGAACAAGAAAACATCTTAAAGTGACTATGTGACTGTAAAAACAGAAAATCCATGAAAAAAGCAGCAAAATATTCCTGAAAAAAGCACCGTACACCAACGCTGTGTGCTACAACAAAACAAACATGTCGAAACCAAAGATCTTTTCGAAATCACCAAAAAATAAAGCCATAATTGCAACGTAAGGGATATTTGTTCAAAACATTACCATTATATATTTTCTTTATTTTAACGTCAGTGTTATTGACGAATGTGTGCTGGAGTTTTTGTTATGTGCTTGTGTACCACTGCCAATGGAGCGCCACCAAATAATGTCATATACTCATCATCACAATAATATAATCTTGATTTAAAGCTTTCGTGACTGCAGGGATTCATATTCTTGGTTCTTTCTTTTTTCAAATTTTCTTGTGGTTTTAACACCTGATGATGATTGCTTGTGTTGCAGTCGAAACGTCGTGAGAATTTTATTGTTTGATATTTTTGTTATTTTACTGTTCCCCTTCTACGTGACTTTACCGAAAGAACCAAGAATATAATATAATCTTGATTTGATTCTTTCGGTGAAGCCACGTAGGTATAAAAAATAAATAATAAATCACGACGTTTCGATCGCTACACAAGCAATCGTCATCAGGTAGAAAGATACAGCGGTAGAACTGCTGAACAAGAAAGGGCTGCTGCAACAAGAGGTTATATAGAGGTTTGAGGTGGGCATCACCCGAGGGTTAGTAGGCGGGGTCAGAGATGGAAAGGAGTTACGTCGCCGCACGCACGCACAGCAGCTGCGCCAAAGGAGGATTGGCATGCTGATGCAAACGAATGTAATGGGAAATGAGCCCCGCAAGCCAGCTGCGGCGACGTTTCTCGTGTGCGACGACGGGGCTCATTTCCCATTGCATTCGTTTGCATCAGCATGCCAATCCTCCTTTGGCGCAGCTGCTGTGCGTGCATGCGGCGACGTAACTCCTTTCCATCTCTGACCCTGCCTACTAACCCTTGGGTGACGCCCACCTCAAACCTCTATATAACCTCTTGTTGCAGCAGCCATTTCTTGTTTAGCAGTTCTACCGCTGTATCTTTCCACCTGATAACGATTGCTTTTGTTGGGATCGAAACGTCGTGATTTATTATTTTTTCTACCTACGCGACTTTACCGAAAGAACCAAAGAATATATAATATAGTTTAATCACAAACGTACCCATTCAATGAACCGATCAGTAACAAAAAAAACATAATTTAAACTCAAACTTTAAGAGACACTGTGTGAAGGCCGCGACAGTAAAGTCAGACAATCACACAATCATTATAACATTGTGCATTAGGTATATGTCGTAGCAAGTAATATTCAGTGATGAAACTTTTCCATGTTTCCGGAATATTGGTATGTCTTTTCATTAAAGCAATTTTTTATAAAAACACTCTAACTTGCTTTCGTCTGCCTCTTTTATTTAATCATTTTTATTCCATTCCTTCTTCAAAAGTTGCCCCAGGTAATCATGGGATGTGTTCTTCCAACGGATATTTAAATTGCTTAGCAACCTGTCATGCGCCTTTTCATACGCAATCGGTACAATCAATATTATTATGATATACTGTATAGATTTAAGAAGCATGGACGGGGGGGGGGGATGCTTGAAAAACACGGATAGACAAAGAGGCACAAATGGAACGGAGAACACGCAAGTTGGATACATCCTATTGACTTGAGGGATGGGAAGTTGACGTTTGGGCCGCATGCAACTGCTCGGCAGGGACCATGTTTGTTTGGTTGCTGAAACTCGCCGGGGGCAGCCACATGAGAGTTGTGACCATCGTGGAAATGGAGCCATGAGATCGACTCGTGTGCTCAAGGAGCTCGATGCTCATTTGGATGGCGACAAATGAGATGGCAACAGCTTCGGAGGCCTTCATCCAACAGGGTATAGATCTTAGTCGCTGATGATGATGATGATGCATCTTTAAATGTAAAACTTCCATTTTTGTTGATGCCACGTTGGCAGCAGTGCACAAGCGCAACAACTTCGTCCATCACAGTATGGCCTTGAAAGGAAAAGTATGTAATTGGTGACGTTAAAGGCAATGGCCCTTCTTCATAGCACATATGATTTATAGCACATCAATGGTTTATGTGCTATGATGTATATGCTATGATGAAGACGGACCATTACCCGGCATGTCACGTGGTATATATTGTTTTGCTTTTCAGGCAATACCTTTCAAAATAAAGCATTCTTAAATGATAGCATTTACATTAATTTAGCTCAATGTATTGGGCTAGAGTATGTAACAGGTGCAGGAAAAAAGGTACTTAATGTTTCAGTATATATCTCTGAATGTGCTGTAACCACGTTCACCGTTTCTATAGTTAACAAGCCGTCCAGATGGCTGGGGGTAGGAGAAAACACACTTGTGAATGTTATCTCCAGAGAAAGGTTTTAAATGTTTGTTAAATACATGCCAACTTGATGCATAAACCTTTCAGCCGGTTCCCATACACCCTGGGGGGAGATGCTGGCAACTCCAGTTGAAGCAAGACAAATGAGAGAACCACTGCCTAGAATTGTAAATTTTACACAATTTTTTTTGTATTCACAGTTCAACTTACGAGCTAGTTTTGTATGAGAATGCAGTTAATCAAATTGTAATTGCATTAAATTACAAATATGAAGCAATATTATAATTTGTGTGAAATGTCAAATTGATAACAGCACTCAAATTCTTCGACAGTAATGAGAGGTGCATGCATGAAGGAAGGTGTTTATTACTCGTATTCATAATACAGGCTGTTTTGGGTTAGATCGCGTAAATATAAATGTGTCGTTAAACCAGCCACCACCCGACACAGCCAATTAGTAAGGTTTGTCACAAACAGAACATGCCAATGCGTTACTAGTACAGCACACCGGTGTGTTAGAAAGCAAATCCACAACTCTTTGGTTCTATTCGGTAAAGTCACGTAGGTAAAAAATCACGACGTTTCGGCCACAACACAAGTGGCCTTCATCAGGTGAAGGGACCAACCTGTCCAGAGGACAGCGTTGGAGTGAAAAAAAGCTTCAAATCTAGAACAAATCCACATTTACAATCTAAGTACGACGTTTTGCCAGTAATTACAACTAACATCACGCAGACAGCAATATTTGTGGAGAAATCCTCCTGTTTCGTTCCTTAAATAGAGGGATAGATTACAATGGGTATCCATTCAAGCACACAAAAACCCTCTGCTTGGTTTAGATATGTGGATGACACATTGGTGGTCTGCCACACGGCAAAGATACACTGAACGAATTTCCAAATCATCTCAACTCGCAAAACCCGTCCATCCAGTTCACCATGGAAGTGGAAGTTGACAGTACTCTCCCATTTCTGGATATTCTGCTCGGGCACGGCCGAAATGGTAAAATAACAACACAGCATTTACCGAAAGAAAACACACACTGACACCTATCTGTATGCAGTCACACCATCACCCCCGCACAGAAATCCTCTCTCATCAAGACGCTCATACATCGGGCTAAGAAAGTGTCAAATGGTGATAGTTTGAGAAGTGAAATTAAACATGTTAAAGAAGCGCTGCAATCGAACGATTACAATGATGCACAAATCAACAGGGCACTGAATGCCAAAACCAAATAAAATAACACTAGCGTTGAAACAGGCTAAGTAATTAAACTATTAAAACACTGTACACTGTGGGAGTAACTAATAAACTAGCCAAAATTTTTGTAAAAACAAAACATCCGAGTCAGATTGGGCACGGTACATAAATATAGAAACTAATATCTGGTACTAAATATGCATTACCAAAGCTATAAACATAAGGTGTGTACCGGATTAATTACTCTTGTGGCAAATGCTATGTTGTGCAGACATGATTAATAATTATCAGTATGAGACGAAAAGAACACCAAGGGAATATTAAATACTCCCAAATACAACTGTCGGCAGTGGCAGAACACGCGTGTCAGTCAACAAGGACACTCAATTTACTGTGATAATGATGAAGTTATGTGCCAAACTAGTTTGCGACTGGCCAAGACTAGTTAGATAATCTATTTTTATTTATCTCAATTTCTATAATTTTAACCGTTCGGACAGCTACAGGCTGCGCTGCTTGGAAGCGAATCATTAAATAAGTGTTTAAATGCATGCCACCATACATCAATGGGGATTAACTGTAGGCTGACATTAACACAAACGACAGGAGATAGGACAATGTGCATATATAATGTGCATACACAATGTGCATACATAATGTGCGTTCAATACCATATGAATAACCCAACCGGTAGTTATATGCATTCATTAATCCCCCCCCCCTTCACACGTGAAGGGCTCACAAGTGAAGCCATCACATCTACCCCCCTCTATTTAAGGAACAAAACAGGGTTTCTCCACAAATCTGGCTGTCCGCCTGATGATGCTAGTTGTAATTACAAGCGAAACGTCGTACTCGGATTAAAAATATTGTGGATTTGCTCTCCAACACACCGGCGTGCTGTACTACTAACGGATTGGCATGTTCTGTTTACGTCACAAACCTTACTAATTAGCTTGTTGGGTGTAGGCGGGTTTAAGCGATCTAACCCAAAAAAAAACTGTATTATAGATATTGGTCGCAAAAGCCTAAGTATTAAACCAATACTCTTATTGATACAATTACGGAGTAAATAAAATGTTTAAAATAAGGATAGACTTTGGGGGATTGTCAATTGGATCATGTAAACATTTATTTGAATACTTTGCAGACACTTTTAATCTGCATTCTGCAAACGCGGGTCTTCAAAATATTACGGTATATGTACAATTTACAATTTTTTAATATTGTTATACTTTAACATGTTTTGACCACTTCTGCATAAAATATACTGTATATTACAACTGGATGTTTTCCATAATATAAGAATGTTTCATTCGAAGAGTACATTTTTTTTTGCCAATCTTCACACCAACAAAGCAGATTCCAAGCCACACTGTTACCCATTCTGCGAGCTATAAATCACACAGGCACGTCTTCACAGATGTCTAACACACTGTTGCAATTAAAGCCTAACTTGAGTGTGATACTGCCCACAAAGTGCGTACATTTACTCAAGAGATTTCTCCTTTAATATTAATATATATACAATGCAGGGCGTCGAACGGTGGCAATGAGGTTCGGACACTGCTATATGAAGCCAGTGATCTCGAGTTTGATTCCTAGCCATGGCCAACAACACCAGTGGTGATAGCTAAACCGGTCCTGCAACCACCATCCTCACTGACCCGCACTGAACAAAGTGAAGTATGGTCAAAAAACCTCCCAACCCCCATAAATTAAATGCATGGGGAGACCTTTATCCAGCAGTGGATTGCTAAAAGGGCCTGCAAAACAAAATACAACACTGTGCTAAGAATTTAGGGATGGACAGTGTGTACTTTGTGCGTGGACAATGTGGTAATTAATTACATGCATAGGAAACTGATGCGAAAGGACATGACGTGCCTTTCTGTTTCGAGAGAAGCCAGCAGATTCCAGCGAAATTTCCTGTTTGGATGCAAGTGATGCATGACAATTCATGCCGAGTTGACACTTTGCTAGACTATACTCGGTATAAGAAACAATTCAACATTTGAATAGCTTGTTTTATGTGTTGGCACCGAATAATAAAAAAAAACTAATTGGATAGTGGGGTATAAAATGCAATAGCAAGCTCACATTTTTTTGGTCAGCGAGTATTTTTGAACGTTTACCAATGACGCATTATCTGTAACATTCCTCCATGCAGGATTTTAAGCCAACTTCGTCCCGGTAGACGGCAGGCCACGTACGCACCACCTTTGATTTTGAACATTGAGATTGAGGAGCAAACCTGACTTACGACTCATGCGTCGGAGCAGGTTTTTGTTCGCCACATTACAAAATGTGACCTCCTGTAACCTCTTTTGGTGTCGGTAAATACACTCTTGGCTTTCGATACGAAGCCAGTGGATTGTGAAATCACACACGCATTCGCACACAGAACATAATTTCCTTGCAAGCGGCATACATTTGAGAAACAGACTTGCATAATCAATTACAATAGAAAATGTCTGCCACAATCAACATTACTCATTTGACGCCCCACAATACCTCTATTCATCCAGCTCATGGCGTCATTACCAAATATCTGCAAGACTGGTACCAGTTACACAATCTCTGTCGCAGCACTTACTATAAATCAGATTTCAGCCTCCAGCCGCAGCATTAAATTTGTGCCCACATAAAATGAGCCACACGCATTTGTCCGCTTGTGTACTATAAATTCTCAATCCATTTCGTGATTTTATAAAATTGCATCAGCAACATCGTTTGGCTGTTTTTCTTTCACTCTGTTTTTGATGGGAATTGTTGCATTCATGTGTACTGAAATCAAAGCTTCAATTGATTTTTTACACATTAATGAAGTCCTGGATTAACATGAGAATTATGCCTGATACACTATACTGAACTTCATCACAGCACTTAAAATTAGACATCAGAAAAAGAGTAAAGTATAGAGACTTACTTCCTGTTTTTCAATAAATAATTAACTTTAAGATGCTGTTCACATTTAACGTTGGACAAATGTTACAATTGTACATTTTCTACTGCATTTTAAGCAAAGGGTGGGGGGGGGGGTCTTCAAATAAATGTTACCAATGTCGTCTTATTTGTATTTGGAATTGTTAAATTCAACGTTATACACACGCGCATGGCATATCAGCAATCAAATAGCGAAAGGCTACTAGAATGGGGTTTTTGTATAGGGAAAACACACAAGACAGTTATGTATTTATGTTTTTAATATATAAATTTCTCCACATATAACAAAATTGATGGGCCACCTTACTGTAAATTTTCAATGTTTCCATAAATGACACATTATAAATTGATACAGAAAATACCTCACATCGAGATTTTACAAAATATTTGTATTGTATGAGGCATCGGTCTCTTCATGTATTTTTGTATTTATATCGGTAAATAAAATAAATACACCTTTTTGTATCACTACTATTGATAATGGCAACACTAAACCACAAAAGAGTAATGTACAATATAAACAGTATTCAAGATAGTTACAAACATTATACAGCATAAATGCTTTCCATGAAAAGGTTTTCCACTATATTATGCTATATTACAAACGTGTAGCTTATGTATAAAGCAATGATTTCTGGGTTCTGTGATGATAGATTTAACTATGGTATATATACTGTATATGTACACTTGAAATCACTGCTTAATTGCAAACTGAAAGGGATGCATAAAATAATGGAATACAACCAATTACGTACTCATCGTTGATCTTTCTTGATAAATGCATGCTCATTAACATCATAGTATAAAATATGAGACAATGCAAACAAATAACTGCTATTTTCCGCTGCATGTTAAAAAGGTAACAGGCACAAGCAATACATCACAAATGCACAGGTGCAAGCCTTAGACCTGAGCAGTTTCGTTTTTGTACAATTAAGCCCTTGGTCTAACTCAATATTTAATATTTACAATTTACACGAGACTTTATTACAAGAAATGTCCTGGAATTTATATACCACGTGGCTAAATTGGTAAATCAAATTGTACAACTGTCACCTTGAGTTTTGATACCATGGTACCCCCTTGATGAGCACTGAAAAAAACACGCTCCTTTTGAAGATGAAAATGTCAAGTGTAATAGTTTTTTCTGTGGATTTAAACAGTTAGACGCGCAATAATTGTGCTCAAGAATATCACACATTTGTACATAACAGCTAAAAAACAAAGCGGCACGGTTCGTCGAAATTTGCATTTTTTCTTCTGACACGAAGTACCTAATTGCACATGGTATCATACCATACGAAGTGCTTCTAGGTGTGAACTGAAAGATCATCTTATTCCATTTTTTGTTCAGCCCGTATTAGAAAGTCTGAGCCAATATCTGAGCCGCGGCTTGAAAAAAGTTGCTGGCATACACCATGACACAAGTGCAAGTAAAAGGTTTAGCAAGTCCTACTTATATATATTTTACACACGAACCGTCGCATACAAAAAACAACTATTCAATATACTGTAGTGTGGTACACGCACAACCCCAGGTTCAAAGTTCCACCTTTCAAGGATTGCACTGGAAATTTCTGCGGTGTACTCCAATGTCAGTTGCCCAGACTGACCCTACTTTCACTTGAAGCGGCTGAAAGAACATTCAGTTCCAGTTTACCTTTTAGGCAAGCAAGTCCTGCAAAAATATAGTGCACATCGGGGTCATCCTAGGCTCTCTTCGTCCACTATGGATGAATTTTAGATAGTGCACTTTTTGTCTTGTTCTATTTTATCTTACAATGGCTGCAAGGATGGCTTATTTTTTAATATCAAACCTGTTATGGAGCACAGAGAGTGCATTCATCATCCATGTGGGGTTATTTTCTCTTGACTAGTCCGCATTAAAGCTAAGATAGTGCACTTGTGGTTATGCAATTTTGGGTGTTATTTTCTTCAGCAGGCAGTTGGTTGAGAATCATTTTTCAGTTCGCGTGCACTTAAAATTCCAACCATGTTCTTCACCACATGGTAAATGATGTTCTTCACCTACAAAACAACATTTCAGCGTTAACATTGCGGATTTTTTTGTTGTTGCTATATCCATTGCTGCTGTCACGTATTCGAAGCAGTTAAGTTACGTTACGGAAACTCCACGGTGATTTTGCATCTGATAAAACAAGATATATACATACAGGTATAATTTATGTCCAAACTGTGCGTATTTATACGAAGTATATTACCTGCAGCTTGTCTTCATGACTACCATCAGGCCACTGCCTGAGCTCATGTGTCAAGCGAAGGCAGTGCTGAACATTTTCCGGGGACACAAAGTCGTCAGACACCGCAATGCAGTTGTACAGATTTTGCACCTGATGGATAAGGAAGATGCCGCATTACGACTATGAACCACTGCTGTATTACCAACGTGCATGTGCATCTCAATGCATCTCCACAGCCTCTCATGTGATTTACGCAAAGGACACTGATGCATGTAAATGAATTGTGTGATTGTATAATAACTCAGTGTGCCCAATCTCAACAGATCTCAGAAGCTAATCAGGGTTGAGCAAGGACAATGCTTGGATAGGTGACCACCACGCATAAAAACAGGTGCTGTAGGCTTTTGCAGGACTACATTATCAGCAGAGGTAAATGTAGAAAGTTACATTCTTGTACTGCACAACAATCCAACACTTACTACTAAAATTTATTTTCCGAGAAAAGGTCCACTGAGCTATATAGGTCTTTTTCAGAAGAAACCTAGCCACAAATCACGTGGAAATGTATTACAGCCAAATACTCTGAACGCATGCTTCTAAATGTGGAGCGAAAAACCAGAGGACCCGGGAGAAAAATCCATGTGACCATGGAGAGAACATGCAAACTCCAAATATACGGGTGTCAGGGTCGTGATTGAACCCACGACGTCCTGTATACCAGGCGAGGTAGTTAACATCTCGCCGCTGTGGCGCGGCTAAAAGTCTTATTGAACCCGCACAGATCAGTATGGTGAAGGAAGGTCAAATAACCCTCATAACCCCACACAGCATGGGGAAGGCCTTCACACAGCAGTGGATTGACGAAAGTGCTGTCTGTAAACGTGAATTTAGGATAGTGGTCAAGGTGTTGTAGTTACCTGGTAGAGGCTCCCTGCTGGTATGAGGAGTGCATCGCCAAGGCACTGAACCAAAGCGACGGGCCTGACTCCCTGCTCCTGTTGCAATCTGCGCCGAAGCTCTGCGTCCAAATAGATGCTCGGTGTCGGTGCCACATCTCCCTCTACTGGTTCCTCTTCTTCCTCTTTCTCGGCTGCCACCTGCAGCATCAAACGCAAAGTTGTTGTCCGTGTGTTTAAAAGTAGGGCGAATATAAAAGATTGCTGTACACGATACAGCCTCTCAGCTTAAGACAACACTAGGAACTGTAATGATTTAATCATCTTGCTTTTTCTGGCTTGTGCATATTAATACTGGATAAATTATAAAGCTTTGGATATGCATTTTATATGACATAAAATCAAGGGTACATACGTTTAACACGTAGGTTTTTCACGAACAATATTATCCATAGTTAATACGCGATCTAACCCAAAAAACCCCTCCCATTATTTTGCGTACGTATATTGAACGTCTTACGCACCCGTACGTAGCCAACCGAACATGACAGTCACGGTTAACAGGCTTCTCAGATATACGTGTCTTTTTCTACATGAAAACATTAAATAAATATGACCTTGCTCAAGAACTCGCGGACTTTGCTTGCATCACCAGCCGAGAAGATGTGCCACAGCGCACCGGCTTTTTGGCCCGCTTCGGAGAAGCGCAGCTTCATTGTTTCATCGGCTTCCCCAACCTCCAGTGCCTTTTGAAGCACTGAAAATGTTTAGATGAAATAAGAATGATATATATAATGCCAGACCACAATAGATTTAATAAAGTGTGGAAAAATTATATGACTTTCCAAATAGTTATCGAAACTTAGAATATTGACAACTGTTTACTGAATATATTTACATCAATACTCCTATTGAAACAGTACAACTAAATATGGATAGTTAAAAATCTGAAATTTCAAGGCAATAGATGAAATCAGCCAAGCCCAAGCAACTTTGCGGATTAAAGTAAGCAATGATAAAGTTAAACTTTGGCTGTAGGGCATGTATGAATATAGTTTATTCAGGAGTTATAACGTGTAATTTAAATACACAGCTATATCAATGAAGTGCCATTCGATAACTCCATCACGCATTGGATTTGAAAAACATCTTAGAACTAGTGTCTGCTGATGAGAAACTATTAGGATATCCAGTAATGCCTTGGACTAATATTTACAACAACAATAACACTGCTAAAAAACAATAACACTGCTAAAAAAGCAATAATAAATTAAACTCATATTTCAGGTTTATTGGATGGTTGTTAAAAAAAACCTCTAATTCGCCCACCACATTCCACATAATTCAGTAAATTACTTCCCGGAGTTGAATCCTCAACATAGTCTACATATTACAATATATTATTGCTCAAATACAAAGGAATATGGTGACATTTGAAATACAAATTTATACTTTATGTAACCCTTATAAGAGTTAATCATTTTTGTCATTTATCGCTTCATTTATATTACCTTCTCTGGAATTAGTTGTCCCTGCTGCCTCTTCAACATGGACCAGGATATTTATTGTGTCTGCCAAATCTGAATGTATACCTCTTGTTCCGAAAGCAATATCGCCCTCCTTTAAAAGACCTGCACATAAAACAAAATGATTACATTATTATAGAAGCCATTTTCCGCCTACCAAACATAAACATGAAATAAACACCAAATGAAAATAAGATAAGGATCAAGGTTTTACCATAAGCAACGTGAAGCTTTGGTCCCAGCTCTGGCCGAACAAAGAAGTCTGGTGGATGGGACGCCAAATTCAACCTCCCTTCACGCGTAGTGTACTCCGCAAGGGGTACATTCCGCGTCAGATCTTCAAACCTGCTCCACAATGATCAACGGAAATAAGAAATGTTTCCATATATAACCAGACACATTAAATGTTTGCAATTAATTAATAACCAACATTCAAAGACAATGCATATATGATCAGAGTATGTTTTTTGTTTGCATTCTGACCACAAGCATTGTGGTTAATGCAGACATGATTCCTTGTAAAAGGTTTCAGTTTGGTGTTTTAACATCTTAAAACCTGTTTTGTTGCCAGAAAAAAGGGGAAAACCTATTCTCATATCTTGGTACTGGCAAAGGAGGTCCCATAATTTACCAATATATTCATCTAGCCAAGAGAAATGGAACATGTCCACCGAAGAAGATGGCACGATGAAATCAGTTCATGTGTGGATGTTCGGTTGATTAGTGCATCGCAGGATTGTGAGAGGGGGGGGGGGCGTTCATCCAGAAGTGGATTGACCATGGCTGAATAATGATTCTGCTTAACAAACCTGTCAGGTAGGAGATCCCTAAAATCATCTCCTGTCGGCCACTCCTTCAGCTTGAGAACCATGGGCTCCCCAGACTCATTCTTCGGCCGTACTGCAATGCATTACATAAATGTATATTTTAAAATCATAAACTTATTTGGTAATTTCTAATACTTTAAATACTACAGGCATTTTGAATACAGAAAGAATGAATAATATTGCCAAAGAGCAAAACTGTTTACCAGAGTTGTCTTGGAAGCCTTCCCAGAAGTCCTTGAGAATGGTATTGGAGGGAGCAGCCAAAGTGTTGCAATCCACTAAGTGAGTTTCCTGCTTACAGATGTCTCTTGCGAGACTCTCTGGATTCCAGAGCTCTTGGCGCAGGTATTCATGGACTCGTGACACGACCACCGGCTGAAGGATAGAACACACAGAATACAATGTCTTAAAATCAACGTGCCAGCATTTATTAACCCTTTCTCAGCATCACAATCATCTGTCATTGTCAATCTGGAATGAAGGCATTTCCACGTTGTTGATACTCCAACAGTCCCAGAATGCCACAATTCCACCTGTTACTTGCAAGTGAACCAATCTCATCACTCCGTCTCCATGGTCAACCATCCTCTCTGTCATGTGTTCTCCTTTGGCTGTCGTTCCATCACCAGCCTCGGACATCAGTCATAATCTGCACTTGTGATGTGTCCTGCCCAAGTACACTTAACTCTGCTTAACAGTCAATATGGTGGTCTCATTTGCCTTTGTTCATTGATTCGTACATACTTCTTCAGTCAGTTTTAATTCAAAGCATGAAAGACTCGATAATTTGCGTGTTTTCCAATATTTGCTCACGATTCTGATCCACGTGTTACGGTGCGGTGGGTGATAAACACTAACTTGACTTTTGCAAATAAATTGGTATTTTACTTTTTATGATCAAAATTAGTTTATCAAAAGCACTGCACCCTGCTCTTATTTGCCTCCATTTCATTGTTTTGATCCCAATTTACCTTCAAATAAACGCTGTCATATACATATTCTACTGTGTTTTTCCAGTCGTGTCCTTCAATCACTTTCCTTTACTAAGAAAATGTTACACATTAACTTTTGTAGTGTTTACACTTACACAAATGTCCTATCTACATTATACAATCAAAATCTTGAGAATGTATACGAAACATTTTTCAGCGAATGACTGAAACAAAAAAGGTATAGATAACGACACTGAATTAAAAATTTGCGGGTGGTAAATTAAATGCGCAATTCCAAAAATGGAGCTCACCTGGCCCCAAGTCCAGCACTCTCTGAAGGCCCTCCAGTTGTTTGGCTCTGTGGGGTTGTATAGGTGCAGAATGCATCCTCCACACAGCCAGCCGTGGGGCACTTTCCACGTTGCCACTCCATCAACCTTCATTGGCGCATGTCCCAGAGCCTCCTCCAGCTGCTCACACTTCACCTGAGACCTGGAACTTTCTCCGCTCGTCACGTTTGGCTGAACCACATCTGTTTTCAGCTGCGTGTCAGCTACATACGTTCAATATAGAAAAAGTTCACGTCAAGCAATGGAAGCAACTCTCTTTTCTTTTCTAATTTCATCAAGACAAGTAAATGCACATTTATTCCACTAAAAAGATGTAAAAATAATTAAATATTTTATGGAAAAAAACTTATTTCATTTCAGCCTCCTTCAAGATGTGAATATTTTTACTGTTTATAAACGCAAAAGGTTATTTTATTCCTTTCCATTCAGTTTAAGTAAAACAACATTGTTAAATTCACATTTCAAAACTGTCGAGTAACAGCAGTTTTATTTTCCTAACACGAATGTCTGGATTATTTAAAAAAACAATAACTTTCGTGTTACCTTTTGGATCTGTCTTCGGATGTCTCTGAAGCTCTCCAAGAGGTTCATTCTTGACTGACTGCGCCATGTCAGCCATTGTCGCAGGGTTAGAAAAGCCTTCGGACTTCACGGTGCCATGCAGTTCCTCCCTCTTGGGTAGCTTCCCATCGCCGGGCTCTTGCATCTCGTGCCTTGCCAGCGCTTCAGATACCCGCGACACAGCCGGCATTGTCTTGGGCCACCCAGAAGGGATCTTATTCTCCACTACGGAGGCGATGATGTCATCCAGCAAGTTGGGCATGCTCCGCGAGCTTCTGTCCGTCTGAAGACATAAGCAAATGCGGTAATTAAAACACTGGCCTTTCCAAGCTTATAGGACAACTCACTTCTAATCAGTTGTTACATGTCAATGCAAATGGAAACAAAATTAATTTTCAATGACAAAAACATATTTTGACACTTACAATTTAGGTTAATGTCCCAAAGTTCACTTAATAATATGGCTTCAAGACTTTTGAGTGGAGTATTTTTGGCTGAGCAGCAGCCCGTATAAAAAGAAAAACAGCTACAGTGCATAAACAATGGTGCAGATGTGACCACATGCCTGTACAAAAAAACAGCTAGGGTGCATAAAAAAAAATCTAAATGCCGCGAATGTGCCAGGGTGTTTTTACAGCGTACATGAGACATGAGAGGCATGACGGGGGCAAAGGCCATGCCGCCATCGGTGGAGATGATGCGAAGCTTTCCGGCCGTGGTAGTGAGCAGGTCGCGGAGGGTGGAGGAGCTTGATCCATGCTCCAGCGTTCCTCCCGATCCACCAGATCCTCTGAGGGAGCTAGAGCTGGCACCAGAAGCAGAGCTGATTACCGGTGGCACGGAGGTACTGCTAAAAGTCTCCAGGAGCACCACCGGCGACCGCTGCTCCCCCTTTATGCCTTTCCGCGGGGCCAGACTCGAAGCAGGGCTCAGGATGGACTCCAAGACGACGACGGGGTTCTGGTCAGCTTTCATCGGCATGACATCTGGTGACGAATACGATAGCAGTCGCTTTATTAGTCGGTATATTTGCATTTGCAAAACTTTCCGGATAGCTAAAAATAAACGTGGTTTAAAGGAAACTTGACAAAAGCACATAATGCACTTGCCATGAGTGATACACAGTACTGGAATTTTTAAAACAGTCACCTGCCAACAACTGTTGGAAAGGAAAAGTACCTTTCTTCTCTTCTTTTGCCTTCTGTGTTGCCAAGTCAGCTAGCCAGTGCAGTGCTGTCTGAGATTCAGACTGAGATTTGCCTGCGTCAGAAGGCGAGTGCTTCTGCGTTTCAGTGCATTTGTTATCATTTCCATTATTATTGGGGAATTCCTTTAGATCTTGAACTTCACCTTTTGTGTCTTTAGCAGGGCTGTTTACAGACACTTCTTGCTTCGGCTCCACTATGTTAATGCCATTCTTCAGAGTTGATGCAATAAGGTCATGCAGTACCTAAACAGGAAATTACATTTCGGTCAAACCCACATGCTTTTGCAACAGATAAAGTCTGTAATTTGTATACATTTCAAGGCGTATTTATGTAAAACACACACTTGCCTGGGAAACTCCGTTGGTGTTGAGGAGCTTATGGAATGGTTTACTTTGCACATCTCCAAAACACGGGCAGTTTGACGCCATCCCCAGCCTTTCATGTGTAGCGTGCATCAATTCACCAAGGTCATACAACGCTGCAAGAACAACAAAAAGTAATCGCTCAGATATAAAGGAAACCCATATATATAAAAAACATGTCATAATAATTTATTTTTAAATATATATTTCTTTAACTCTCCAATTCATAATAGCTTAAACCTCCAAAATGTACAAACCTGTTCCAGGGATGATCTGTGTTGGGATAAGGTTTTTGGGATCATGGACTTGGCCCTTGACGCACTTTATCCAGGAGAACGTTTCTTTTCTCCCTTCATTTTCTAAAGAACAGAAAAGCCACAAACAAAATCACACAAAGGACTGTATATGTACGTATATATGTATGTTTAATGTCTTTCACACCGTGCACAGCCAACCATATGTAATCGGAGGTGCATGTTGTCCACCAATAATGTTTAATGAAAGATATGGAAATCAGAATTTTTTACATTTACAAGTCTATATTCCACATTGTTGTATTTATTTGACTTCTCAGTACAAATCTTAACAATCAATACCTGTGTCCCGCTTCTCCCGACGTGAAGTGTAACACTCAGGGCAGACCACAAAACCACACTTTGGGCAAACCCAGTGGACATTGAAGAGCGTGGCTTCACAGGCGTCGCACATCTCTCTAACTCCACGCACCGCACGTTTCCACGCCACTTTAGCTGTGAACAAGAAAGATGATAGGATGTCAACGCACGTGCGATCACAAAGCAAGCACCTACCAGTGCCATTTTTACAATCATAATGTTGGTACAAATTCCAATGTGTGTTTCTCAGGTACGGCTATTTACTTACCATCTTGCGGTATGCGTGCCTTGGCATCCTTCTCGGCCTGGACCATCCGACAGAACTGAGGTCCCACGTGAGATAGGATGTACCTGGCGGATTCTATTCCTCCCTCTGCCCGTAACGCTGGAGCACCGGTGCCTCCAGGTACCCACAGGCTAAGGTCATCCGCTGTGCAGTCGTTTGGCGCAGAGAATCCATAAATTCGCAATGCCCCGTTCTTATTAAAGGATAACCTGAATCATCATACAATGCAGAGAATAGAGGACGGAGAGAAAGGGTATTGTAAAACTTAAAGTTCAACATTGTCAGGGTACTAGCACTTTAAATTAACGGTTTAACAAAAATGCGGATGACATAAGAGACGTATATTTAACATAGGCACAGGCAATACTTATACAATGTATCAATAAAGATATCCAAGTCAAAAGTTATGGAAGATGAAAAAAATCTTCCATGCACTTTAAATGTAACCGCATCGAAAAACAAAAAGTTGCGGGGATACCTTCGGAAGTGGTAGAAGCGGCAGAAGACCGCCGAGTGCACCTCCTGGCCCTTGCGGTAGCGCACCATGCGGCACTCGCGACACTTCTGCAGCGACGGCGTGATCTCTGTGCAGGCCCCGTCCTGCAGGAAGGCCTCCCCGGTCTGCTTGAGCCGCTTCACCTTGCGCCAGTCTTTCAGCACACTCTCCGGCAACTCCTCTGTTAAATTGTGACACAGCAGGCAGAGGCAATGTATTAAAGTTCCTTTGAAAAGCCATTTAATTCCAAGATCTCAGAACATAGGAATAATAATTGAGAATAATAGCAATTGGGAAATAACGAAAATGTAAAAAGGGTGAAATCCTACCATCATCAAGTTTTAATTTGGGCTTTTCCTCCAACTTCCCGGAATTGAAGACACCATTCTTCTTCTCATCCTCTTGTTTCTCAGGCTCCTCCTCTTTTTTGTCAGACTCCATGGGCAAGGGTTTCATCACCTCTTTAACAGATTCTTTCTCTTGCCCAGCTGCTGTTTCTTTCTCGCTTTCAACTTCATCGGCACTGCCCAATTGTTTCCCTTCTTCCTTGGTCTCCTCTTTTTCTCGGTCAGCTTCATCGTCGTTCTGAGGTTTTTTCTTTTGCATGTCATTTTCCTTTTTCTTGTATGTGGGTTTAGGCAGACGTTTTGCTCTCCTTTCTGCCCGACTTTCCGGCCCTTCTGAATCATCACTTTCCGAGCCCTCAGACTCCAGTGCTCGCTTGGCTGCCCTCTTGGTTCGCCTCTCCTGCCGCAGATCTTTCCTCTCTGGCTTTGCTCTCCTGTTTTTCCCCGAATCATCCTTTGCATGTTTTCCACGTTTTTCTTCCTGCTGCTCTTTTTTACCACGCTTTGGCTTCTCATCATCTTTTGGATCTTCCTTTGTACGTTTTCCCCGTTTCTCCTCCTTGACATCTTCTCGAGATGCCGCGGCTTGCTTGCTTTCTTTCTTTTCTTCCTTTCCACTGCTTGCCCGCCTTTCATCGGTTTTCCCACGTTTTACTCTTCCTTGTTCTTCCAGATCTTTCTTTTGACGTTTCACGCGCCTGTTTTCAGCAGCATCCTCTTTACTTTTCTTTAATTTCCTCTCTACTTTAACCATTTCTGGCCTTTGATCCTCATCAACTTCTTTTATAGATGCCACTTGAATGGGTTGCAAGGAAGGAGATTCAGATGCTGGAAGTTTCTCCGTAGGCCCTGCAGATGGGTTCACTTTGTCGCTGCTTACCATACGGTCCTCTTTTGAGTGGCGAGTTAGCCAGGCTTTCTTCAGCTTGGTGTGAAGACCACTGCCACCACCATTGGGATTGCCAGAGCTCACTGGATTGGCTGAAACTTCCATACTCCCCTTGGAAGACGATGAACTCACATCGCTTTTCACGCTGGCTGTGTCGCTGTCATTACCATTACTAGCTGGATTGGACGGTTGAGCGTGGGTTGATGATTGTAACGCCTTTTGTTTTTTAGATTGGTATGGAGCAGCCTTGGGAGCCACAGATGCGACGACAGATTGTGAAATGGTGATGGTCTGAGTTGTGCAACTTGACACTAAATTTGCTGCAGGTTTTCCAGGAAGAATCTGGGCTGTACTGAAAGCAGGACTTTTACTGGATGGTGGGCATACTGAGCTGCTCCAGCTTGTGTTTAAGGACGTGGGCATATTTACAACTGTGCTTTCTTTTGATATAGCAGAGTTTGATACTGTTGTTACCGTCCTCAGATCAGAACATGACAGGTTCAAAGAAGTGTCTGGTGCATGACTACTCACGGCTTTCTCTGAGTATTTGTCGGGAATTGAGATCACCGATGGAGTCACCAAGGGCACATTTGGCGGCGAAAGGGACTGTATGAACATATTGTGGCTTGTGCCGTGCACAATGCTGCCATGCTGCTTGGGGTTGCTTGGCTCTACACGCGCAGCCAGCAGAGTGGAGGATGCCGATTTTGAATGTACGATGACAGATGCCGGTGCAGCAACAATAATCCGACTGGTGTTTTTCGAATCGTACACCTGTGCATCATGTGCCTTCTTCATGTCCCCAATGGCTCGAAGTTCATCCAAGTAAGAAGCACTGCCTGTCGAGTCTCTAAACCCACCTTCAGGATTCCCTTTCAGCCCGTTGGACAATTGATGCGAAGGTGGTCCGTTTTCTCCCAGAATCCCACGAGACCTCTGAAGCTCCAAAGGTTGCATCATGGCGGCCTGCAGCTGCTGTGGCGAAGCCACTTTCAGAGGGGACGGTGCCCGTAGTCCAGGCGCTTCAAAACGTTCGCTGTTGGCCTGAACGTGCGACAGGCAAGCTGGCGCCTCCCCGCGATCCATCATGCGGCAGCTTTGCTGCTGAGCCAGTGGTGGCGGAGGCACTGGTTTCAGCAATGGCGGAGGCAGCGGTGAAGCAGACATTGAAGACAGAGCGTCGAGAGGTTGCTTCCTGCTTCCCGTGATTACAGAATGACCACTAGAGGGCATCAAGCGATCAGACATTTTATCCCTATTCACTTCTTGCAGTTCTGGTTGGTGCTTTATGAGTGGCGGTGGTCGAGACAGAGCTTTGCTGTTACTACCGCTGTTGCTATTTCCGGCTAGAGACTGCACTGACGGTGCCATCACAACTCCACCCTTCGTTCTATCAACACCCGTCTCACGTAGTGGTGGAGACATTACACTGGAGGTGTGGGCCCTGCTGCCTTTAACTCCATTGTGCCTGATGGGCTCATTAACCACACTCTGTGACAGAGATGTAAAGTAGCCACTCGGGAGCACTCTGTGATGCATCAGTGGATGAAACATTGCCAACCCCGGAGGTGACTTCTCACTTGGTCCATCTGTTTTATGCTTCTGATCCATGTCCCGCTTTGTGGACTTCCTGTACTCCAGCTCAGACTCCTTCGCCCTGTACGCCTGTGCGTACATTGCCATTTCCTTTTCTCTCCGTGCAAGCTCGCTGTCCTGCTTGCCGGAAGACGAGTGATGCTGCTTTCCCTCATTCTCCGCGTGTCCTCTGTGAGCCAAGCTGTGAGGATCGTGAGAGTGAGGCAGCCAGAGCCCCTGCATAGGCAGGGCCTCCGACTTGGGAGGGGTCATGGCTGCCATGTGCTTTCGGTCGGATTCTCTGCACACAACAGATAATTGTAATTTTTTTTATTTCTATAATAAAACACACGTGTATTCACACATCACTCCATTTCACTGTCTGTATAATGTCATTCACACAGTATACAATAAAAAATATATATTTTTCAAACAGCATTTTAATAATGCACAATTACGTTTTTTTTGTAATCTTAAGATACATTCCATTCTCAAAATGCGGAAGATTAAACAAATGTGCAGGAAATTCCTTGAAAACTTCCACGCGTATACAGTCTGTGAAACTGCAGACCACTCACGTCCTGTGGTTGTCAGACATCCCGGAGCGAGGGGAGGCATTGACCGGCAGTGGTTTGTGCAGTTTCCCCGTGTCTGCGCCAGCTGCGGCTTTCTGATCTGGCAGCGTAGTCGCATGGTGCAATGGCCAAGGGCTGTGCGTGCTCTGGTGGTCAACAAAGGGAACATGAAAACAAAGTGGTTATAAATGCCATTGTTTTAAATCTTTGCATATTTATTTTGGTAAACAGACAGCAAAAACATTTATTCCCGTGTTTGTTTTTTTTTTAGTGTTAATAATGTAAGTTTGTGAAAACATTAAAGGAAAAAAGGTTTGAAAAAGGCGCAGTTTGTTTTTTTAATTAAATGTATTTGTAACATCAGTTTATTTAATGGCCAATGAGTTTAATAATTAAAACTTTCTTTCCTGAACATTCCTTACTTATATTTTGATTTAAAGCTTATATTCCTTACTTCATTAAAACACCGAGTTATAATATTTAATAAAACGGATTGCAATTAACACCCAATGTATTCAAACGGATATTAAAAAAACAAAACTCTAGGCTCAATATTCCCGCTTTTCATTATGGGCAGCATTACCCTCTTTGAGGTGTTCTCTGCAGCAGTGCCAGCTGACTCAAGGTGTGACCACGCTGCCATGCTTGGATGGCACGATGCTGCAGGATGCATGGGTAGCCTCATGCTGGGCTGCTGATGCCACAGGATAGGGTAGAGCCCCATCTGGCTCGCGTAAGCAGCGGCTGAGGGCATCAGATGTGCAGATGCCTGCAGTAAGTGCTGCTGCTGTTGTTGCTGCTGCTGGTGATGCTGCTGGTGTTGCTGATGTTGCTGATGCTGTTGATGTTGTTGCTGTTGGTGATGCTGGTGCTGCTGGTGGGCCAGCGCCAGCGCGGTCAGGCTGCTGGCGTGCATGCTGGGAGCCAGCATGGCGGTGGAGGCCGCGGAACGAGAATCTAGCCCCGCAGAGAGCAGAGCGGCTGAGCTTGTCCGGTAGTCCAGTCCCGAAGGCAGCATGGTGGGCTGGGAATTGAGGTGCGGAGGAAGCATGGGAGAAGAGGCCGCGTGAACGGCCGAGGCCATTCCCGACGGATACAGGTGGTGAGCAGGTGCCAGGTGAGACGAAGAGAACGCAAGCGCGGCCTGACTGGGGGACGACGAGAGAAGATGGGCATGGGTAGGCAGTCCCAGGGCGTGATGAACAGCTGAAGAAGAAGACGAACTAGGAACGAAGGGATGAGAGTAGAAAGGCAGGTGTTTGGCTTCAGCATCTAAGTCTCTGCTGTACGCAGACATAAACTGCTCTTTCTTGTCAACAATGGGCATCCCCTTCACATTCTCAGCCAGCAAGGACCTGGGAGGTACTGGCTGAAAGCTAGATTTCAAGGTTTCCGAGTCAGACCTCGATGTCTTGGGGCTGACTCTGCTCTGCTGCGGTGAGGAACGAGGTTTTCCAACGTTCAGATAATCCATTCTTGCAGCCGAGTAGTCAATCCCTTTCCCTAAATGGTGCACATCTTCCTGTGAAAATCTCCCAGATCTCTTACTATGAGATTGTACTGACGACATACTTTTTGATGCGTGTTCAGATTTCAGCAGACCACTGTTGCCTTGCTCAATGTGTCCTTTAGCAGGCAAAATCGATGAATTTCTATTAATGGTTGAATAGTCCTTGGCATAATCTCTGCACTTCTCTGTGCGTTTCAGCTCCGATATAACTGGAGATTGACTGTGGCGCTTTGCCTGCCTGACGTCCAACGTTGCTGGGCTTGCTACTTCACCAGTCCTGGAGGTGATGTGTCTTGAAGAGGAGGCAATGTTGTCAGTCCGATTGCCCTCCTTAACATCCGCAGTTTGCACTGGAAGAGACTTCTCTTCGTTTAGATTCCCCGTTGCACTCTCCACTCTTTGATGTGTTCTGAATTTCACATCAAATTCACCCGCTTGCATGGTAGTGGCAGTGTTATCAGTCTTTGAGCTGTACCCTCTAAAATTTGTAGCATCTGGTCTCTCTCTTTCTGAGCTCTTGCTTTGGTCATCCTCTTTTTCTTTGCTCACAGTGTTGCTGCTCCCCGTCTCTCTCTCCCGTAAGGAGGTTTCAAAAGCATCACCATCCACTGAGACCTTATCAATTGATTTCTCACTCTCGCTACCTTCAGAGTCAGAGCTGTCAAATGCTTTTGACCGTTTGCCTGATGAACTGTCTTTCTCTGTTCCATCATGTGCCTTCCTTTTTCTGCTGGTTTCCTGCCTTGCCTTGCTCTTCCCCTTTTCTGAAATGGAAAAAAATCGACACTTGGTGTCAGTGTCAAAAAACCACAGTGTAAGTACTTTCCATCAGTACTTCCCACTTCAAGTTGTACACGATTACCGTATGACAAGTGATTTATATTTAAATAACTGTATTGTACTTTTTGGTAACAATGACCTGCATTGTTTTATTTCACTATATTAGTTTTCATATGGAAGTTGATACCCTTAAAGTGAAACTCCTAAAATCTACCTGCCTATTATAATAATTAATAATAATTCACATTTGTAAGATGCATTTCATCCGTGGATCCCAATGCACCCATTTATGGACAGCAGGAAATAAACAGAAACAGGATAAATTTCCAGAACTAGGGGGTAAAGGCTTAAATATGTCTAATAATGTTTAATAACTCTGCCTTATTAGCAAAGGCAAAGCATTCCAAAGCCAGGGAGATGCAACGGCAAAAGCCCGATCACCCCAGGAAATGGGCATTGACCTCGGAGTACGGAATCGATCAACATATCTTCCATGCATTTTCATGGATATGAGTAACACCGATCCGCATGTTTGTGTCTTTCTTTTCACGGATACAAGGATTCTGCATGGTTAATAGGATCCTTAAATAATAGTGATCCCCATATCAGCGTGGATAAGAGGAGTTACACTGCACACAATTCCATGGAGGTGGAAAGTTAAATGGAGAGGTTGACACCACCCAAAAATTTCTTCCGGTGTTCTGTGACGAAATTATTGAGGTTTTTAAAATTATAATTTGTGCTCGTGCACCAATGCCAATGCAGAATGACAAAATGTGTGAACGCTGGATGCCGTTTCTCAGTGTTCTCGAAAGCACCTCTCTCGGGATCCCTTTCCTTGCGGTCCTCATCTGGAGTGCTGCTGTCCGAGCCTTTCCTTCGCCCGTTGCGTGCCGTGCCACGCAGCTGCAAAGGCTTGGCACCTGGAGCAGGGGCTCCACTCTGTCCGCGTGTGAAGTGGCCCTGCAAGCATTAAACACGTGGCTTTCAGGAGACCGTGTCTGCAGCAAGACTGAAGGTTTATTTCTAAACGGTACAACAAACAGCATATACACTGCACCACACAATGCAACCGCCAACAAGGATGAAGAATTATTGGCAACAGAGAATCCTATTTATATAGGAATGGAAAAAAATTAAAAGATAGCGTTGAGAATGTGTCATTAAACGTCAAACCATGCATATTACAATACAATGGAGTATATTGTGTTATATTACAAAATATATTACGATTGTGTTTGATACCATTCGTTAATGTATTCATGACTGTTAAATGAAATGCATTTTTAAATAACCCGATGAGGTAATAAAAAATATATCAGCAAAAAGTATACAGTAGGTTTATATAGGATTCTCTGAGATATGTCCGATGAAGCCTAATACATATTGAACTTCCTCTTGGTTTTCTTGGTTATACAGTATAGTTATTTGCAATATATCACCATCATTAGTTTGCTACACCAACAATAACAAGCCATGTCACTTTTTTTACTCGAGCATTCTATCTTTAAATAAACCAAAAAAAATTCTGCAATAAAATATTTGACAAGGTATTTGGTTGGGTGGTTAATATCTGTGAATACCGTATGACTGATTACGGGTGAATATCCCCCATTAAAAACACAGATCACCCACAGGCACACGAATGCATTTAGCTGCTCCATTTAAGCAAACTGAATAAAATAAAGGCTGTCTATACAATGCATTGCGAACATTCTAATAATGTTCAAACCAGCATGTGTCCCCTGAAAACAATAACCCTTTTCATAATGATCGGTAAGTAGCAGACTTCAGGGGTAATAAGAGCACAGCATCTCACTCTCTTGCAGTTTATTATTAGCTGTGCTGACGATTGATGGCACATCAAAGTCTCCTCCAGCATTCACACGACTTCCATGTCGATTATCAGTGCCCCATAAAGCAGAGTTTTTCTTACTCTACATAAAAGCCACTCCCCTACATGTTTTCAAGATTAAAATTAGGAATTTGAAATGCATTGCAGGATGTGGAAAATGGCAGCACCAAATGAGACAACTTGTCTGAAAAATTTAGAACAAATTAACCGTGAAGTGAAAAAGTATTGGAAACGTCCTTATCTGACCTTCGCATCGGGCTACCAAAAATTCCAACCTCAAACCGCATGAGGGCAAGCCATGTTCTCAGAAGCTTTCTGATCCCACAAAGCCACCCAACCCTGTTGTTAAGGCATGCAGTCAGTGTGTGTGTGTGCCCAGCCTCAGGGTAAAATGAGGTTTCAACTCTGTTCCAACAATATTTCAAGCAGGTGGGTAGGAATTGTTTCATGTTATTGTCCATTTTTAAATACATGTATTGTGTAGGACAAAAAATGTCTCAATCTTTTTCAGGGCATTGACTATTTAAAAATCTTACATGACATGCCTTTGTCATCTGTTTATAATTAAACAACTAATTTCAGTTAGGAATTAATGTGCAGTAAATTATCATTAATTGAACATATCACAATCACAATAATATTACATTAAAGAGGTTTTTTTAAAAAGTATACCATCATAATTGAACAATCTAACAATACAAAATAATGAATGGCATGGCACAAAATGAATAAACGGACTTAAGGTACCAAGGCTAACTTTCTGTGGAGTTAAATTCCAACACTTGCTGTAAATCATGAGAACATCCTTCACAACCGGAAAATGTGTACAAACAATAATACAGCTAAACATTTAGCTCTTGCTGAGCTGGTGGTTTAGACAAGGCTGAGCATTGTGGAGAAAAAAATAGCTAAATAGATAAGCAGACAATGTCTCCCTTCTGGGAGTAAATAATTTCAACAGTATTTATTCAGTATATGCAAACTCTTGACACTACACGTCGAAATCAGAAAAAAAAATGAAAAAGACATTGTCTGCTCATCTATATTGATGTTTGTGGGCACACCTTTGTACAGCTGTGAAGTGCAACAAGACTCACGTGCACATTCATAACCGTGCCCCCGTTGCTTCCATTGCCGCTGGTGCTGCCGCTGCCACTGTTGCTCTGGCTGGCACATGAGCGACGGCGTGAAGTGATGCCCACATTCTCCCCCTTAAGCAACGAGTGCACTACGTCATCCAGAAAGGTCATCTGGACCAATGCAGGGTCCACGTTCTGAGGCTCCAGCACCTGGAACCCAACCAGCAGTACAGACGATGCCAAAACAAATAAACTGTAGCAATTCCCAAGGTAAATTTGGGAAATTTTGGTGTTCATTAACAGGAAGCATTTTTTTACCTTCATAATATTACCATAACATGAAATTTATTTTATTAAAGTAAACAATGGTTCTAAAGATATTTGTAGATTTAAAAAAATACACATTTCATAAATACAACCACAACTAATTATTGTAGCTGGTGCAAAAAATGAAACTGTGTTTTTGGCAATAAAAGACACAAGGTATTAGAAAGGGTTCCCACCTGGTCAGTCATGACTATCATAGTGCGGCTAAAGAGGTCGTGGTGAGTAATGATGGCGGTAAACCACTGGGTGGCCGAGTCTTGACGATACACACGCACCCTGTAGCCGTTAAGCGAATAAGGACCTAGTAGGGAAAATACATTGCATGAGAATCCCATTATACAAGATTCCATGATGAGATTGATCAACAATTCTAGAAATATTGATTCATGGCACAAGAAAACTAATTTAATAATGCTTCGCGGAAGTTATAAAACTGAAAACGCACGAGGTCACCAATAACAGTGGAATTATAAATGATGCACCAACAACATTACACTCACATTTGTCAATAATACTGCCCAAAAAAAAGAATAAACGCTGTGTAATAGGCGATGTTTTGGCCCACAGTCCTTTATAGCACAGAGATCTGGTCTTGAAACATCACTTTTAAGCCTTCTTTTTTATTTTTAAGGCAGCGTTATTGACGAATGTGTTGAGTTTTTGTTATTTGTGCTTATGTACTCCTGCCAACACAGTTAAAATATATATCATGAATAAACTTTTACAAAATTACTGTGACGCTTAGGCACAAATTTAATTATACTCTGATGAGACTGTTGCCAGTGAACAATAAAACTAAAATAAAACTGGAACATGAACACAAGGGAAAACTGCTTCTGCCTCCCAATGCTGAGAAATCTGGCAGGAAATGTTTTGTTAATGGGTGTCAAGCAAAGGAAAAACACAGCAAGTTGAGTCAGCCCTGCCTTCCTGTCACGTCAACAACAAACAGGATTGGGCGAGGACGTTAGCACACTTTATATGTTGCATTAAATGCTCTGCAATCACACTGTTTAGATTCACCGTGATGCTGGAGGACTGTACCATGCATAAATATCTCCTGGACCTTCTGCTCCTTGATCCAGTCCTTCACTTCATCGAGGAGTTCAGGCTGCCCCTCTAGTAGAGGGGGAGGGCTATCACCCTCTTTCTGCTGTAGGAACAATGTAAGAATATACAAAGTTACTCGCCAATTCCATAATCAGTAGTAAAACAAACACAAGAGGATATTACATTAGACACAATATTATTCTTAAAACAAATAATGAAATGTACGTAATTTATTAAAGAATGTATAAACTACTACAGTGCTGAAATTCACATTGTTAATATACAGTGAATACAATTTAAAAATGCATGGATTATACCAGGCTCTCTCTGGTGTAGGCCAATAAGTTTCAAAGACGATGCATCTATTATCAGGGCATGTTTGTTTGCATGTTTTGCCACAAGTTTGTGTGGTTAATGGAGAATTGATACCTTGCAAAAGGTATCAATTTGGTGTTTGGACATCTTAACACCTGTTTCATTGCCAGAACGGGTAAAACCTTTACTTATTTTTCATAATTTTGGTTACTGGCAAAACGACCCCATAGATATTGTACCATATTATTCATTTATAGAGTTATAGTATGACAATTAAATTAATTGCATAACATTACTTTTTTTAATCAATTTTCTAATTCTCTGCAGTACTGCCCTGTACACTAAAATATGATTTCATCATAAAGCCCACGTGAAAATGCCCAACTGCATAGGTTTGGAAAATCAAAGGGATTGATCTCACCCCCACATCACCACAGCACGTTAAACATCACTCTAAATATGTACTCTTGGGGGAAAAGAGAACATTCGTCGGTTGCTTCATGAACAGTTGGCTAAATTTAGGTTTTACACGCGCACGCTTTTCATAGATACTAAATCCTAACTTAAAATCACCGTTTGGATCAAATAAATATTTACACAAAACTTATCGTGTTAAAATTAACAGCACAAGGTGTACCAAATAAGCTTTGTGATGTTATCATCAGCTAAGTTACGCTTATAACAATAAAATAAAACACAACACCTTCTGTATCACAGTAGTCTGCCAAATACAACTGAACAAGAGCTGAGATGCATCCTTATAATTACACTGAATGACAAACAGCAACACAGGCACCTGCTAACAAACACAAATCAGATATATTACGACAATATTGACTCTCAAGGAAAGTAGACTTAGGCAAGACATATCGCTCGAAGAAAAGGTTGGTTGGTGTAAGAGATTGTCACGGATTGGTAGCCAAAAGGGAAAGCAAGCCCAAGAAGGTGACCACTCGATTTGAAGTTTTCGTGACTGCAGGGATCCATACTCTTTGGTTCTTTCGGTAAAGTCACGTAGGTAGAAAATAAAATAAATTAAATCACGACGTGGCCCACTTCAGCAATTGTTTCTTGCTGTGGTTGTCCCACCTGATGACGGACGCTTGTGTTGCGCCCAAAACGGCGTGATTTTATTTATTTGATACCTACGTGACCTTACCGAAAGAACCAAAGCGTATAGGGTGACCACTGCCGAGAGGCTTTTGTCCAGCAGCCAACAAGATAATGGCCAATGAAGAAGCTAACGAAGAGGATGATATTCTTGGTTCTTTAGGTAAAGTCACGTAGAAGGGAAACAATAAAATAATAAAAATATAAAACAATACAATTCTCACGACGTTTCGACTGCAACACAAGCATTCATCATCAGGTGTGAAAACCACAGCAAGAGGATGATGCTTGACCTAAGGTCAATGATTGCTTATCAAACACAATAACGCACTGTTTATTCCAAATATGTACATGTACAATAAAATCCAGATCTTTGTTGACATCAGTTTAGGAAATGCGATTGTTTACTTACAATACAGTACAGCAAAGGATATGGACCTGTGGGTTGAGCTTCTAACAATCACATTTAAAAAAAACGCTTAATGGGAAATATAAACAAATGTTAATCACAACTGGATGACTAAGCCTAACATTTTCCAGAGATGCCGTAGGCGGTCAGTAAGGTATGCGCACACAAGATAAGCAAACAAAAATAAATGACTAAGCTAAGTGGCTTTACTCAACAGACTGCCAATATAACAGGTTCATAGATTTATTCCCAAGCTGTAAAGTTTGTTGTTAAGCAAAGACACTCATCAGTTATCACTGTACAGATAGATATATGGGAGTTGAGAATTAATTATGTATCTAGGGGTGGTAACATAGGTGTCGCTGATTGTGCAAAGCACTCTGGAACCAGGCGATTCGATTATATTTCTGGCCGCAGCTAACATCATCAGTACGAAGTGATATTAACAGGGCATAGTCCCTGCCCTTTCACCAAGACTCACTGACCCGCATGGTGAAGTATGGTCAAAGAACTCCCACGACTGACGTGGTGTGGGGGAGGCATTTATACAGCACTAGATTCACAAGGATATAAATAACAGTATTGTACAACTTTATCATATGGTTCATATTTTTTTTGTGTGTGTAGGTTAGGCCAAAATCGTTATGTGGCCTTACCCAAAATGTATTAATCATAACATTGGTTGCGAAACCCTACCCGGGTTCGGTTTATTTGATTTCGGGGCATTCCTTGTTTTGTTTTAGAATAAAAATGTACCAAAAAGACGAGGTGAAAACATATAAGCATACTTACACAGTGTAAATGAAAATGGTAATTATTTCAATGACTAGATATATTTTAAAAGAGAAAAAAAACACGTGAATGTGGGCTTCAAGAAGAATTGTGGTGACGATGCACACTGCTGGCAGGGTGAGACGGAAACATGCAATCAATGTGGCAACGGAGCAGCGGGGGTTGGGTGGGTTACAGGGTCTTTAGAGTTCACCATAAAACCAACATGTGTTTTGTAAGAAATTGAATGGAACTTAAGCAAAGTAATCACAAACCCTGCGTGTTAACGGCGAGGCAAAAGTACACAACATGAATGGTGGCCCAGAGTCAACCAAAACAAATTTGGCACCCCCAAAATACAGTTCTAGTTTCAGCAAGTGTCAGGGGTACTACTACTAGTAAACAGTTAGGATTAAAAACAAACGTGTAACGTGTTGAAAAATCCATCATTCGTGGAAATCTGGTCGATAAGGTTAATGCCAACCTAACAGTAACCTGTGACCAAATATTCCAGAATGTCCCGATTGTCAGATCTTGGAAGCAAGGTGGTGCCTTGTTAATTATTAAATGGGTGACCACCATGCACAAACAGGTTGTTATAGTAATTGGTAAGGTTGTTATAGGTTGACGAAAAGCTGTACTGTACTTTATTTCCTCCGACATCTAAGCTCCCTGCCTTCCCTAACTGGCACCAAAAACCAGTGTTGTAACGCATGGTCAGACAATACACACGATCCACAACGTCTGGGGGACCCTCATCCAGCAGTGGAATGGCCAAGGGCTGGATAATGTGCATGTACCTAACAGTATATGAATACAATTTGACTTAAAACCTCTTTTCTCTCCGCCTGATGAAGACAAGTGTGTTGCGATAGAAACGTCGTGGGGTTTTTTTGCTTTTATTATTTTCAAATTATTCTATTTTTATTTTATTTTCTATCAACGTGACTTGACCGAAAGAACCAATGATAGTATATGAATAAGGTGATTCTTTATTCCAATTTATATTTGCTTCAGTGCTGTACTTTATTTTTTCTTGACTAAAAACATTTTTTAAAGAAAGCTGTATCATAATTAGCTTTGCTCCACTTCCTTGAATATATCTTTGTCATTTGTCATGCATGGCACCTTGAAACATTCTTAAAAGGTCCCTAAGTACAAATTATTTATTACAGTATATTTTTTTTACTTATTTTGCTGTTGTAATATTGATGACCCAGGTCACTCTTGTAAAATGGAACAATCCTGGGTCTCGAGTTTTCATTAGGTAAGAACAAAATGAATTTGAAACTATGCACTGTACATGCATGCAAACCACGCTACCAACATATTCTTGGTTCTTTCGGTAAAGTCACGTAGAAGGGAAACAATAAAATAATAAAGATATAAAACAATAACATATTTTTATTATTTTATTGTTTCCCTTCTACGTGACTTTACCGAAAGAACCAAGAATATGAATCCCTGCAGTCACAAAAGCTTTAAATCACCCTACCAACAGTAATACAGTGGGCAAACACACGGTAAATGGTGTTGCGAGACAACTACGCACGACTACACGTGCTTACCATGCTACGAGATCCCATATTGCGAGACATTGCAGTGTCTTATTAAGACGTTAAATCTGATACGATTTGTCATCAAGGCAGTGAGCCGACACTAAATTAAGAGATGTGCGTTCTCTGGGAATGTGTATGGGAGCCCATCTCTTTTGATCACGAACAACCAATTTTCAAAAATGGCACAGATTGCCTTTTCAACAAAAAAAAACACGGCCTGTGTCATTACGTTTCTCGGTATCTGCCTTCCGAGAAGTTGTAACATACGGGAAAATATTTCATTTGTTCTGCTTGCCATGCTGGCTATAATTTTATACCTCGTGCTCTGGAGATTTATTTTAAGAGAAGCCTTCCTGGAAGCACTTATCCTACAAAGCCAATTGCAGTAACGGTTCGGTCCATTTCCATCTAGACAACTAAAGAGTGCTTTGTTTTGTGGCGTGTATAACGAACCATGGGGGGGAAAAAATAGGTGAAGATACAACTGCAACACTGCACGCTATTGCACACAGTACGATATTTTAAAATTAAAATGTGCCAACGCTGCTTTTGGAATTTCCACCGATGCTGCTGGCCAAAGGGGCGAGTTAATGCCCATTCCGTGTTTGAGACCAGGCACAAGGGGCGATGACTTTTTAACTTACTGTACAGTATTCGTGTACAGTATAACCAAATATTCTGCACAGTATCACGCTGTACACAGTACAGTAATATACACAGTACTCTCTAGCATTCCCCTTGTGCCCCAACGTGGGAAGCCACTGCTTATATCGTACAATCTGCAAAACCAGCCAATTTAACCGCAATTGCTATCCGTGGTGGAAGCAAAGATGGCACCACCACCGATGACCACCGATGTTATCAAATATTAATCACGCATCATCATCTTAACCATCCACGGTTATGAGAACCAACGTTATTCAAACATAGTGATGATGC